CCCCCTGCCCCCCCAGCACTGAAGGTGGGTAGCTCTTCCCTGTCCCCTCGCTCCTCTTCCTCGCTGTCACGCCGGGACCCCAGTGAGCCCCTTCCTACAGGCCTCCCCGAAAGCTTCCTCCTGTTGTCTCCTCGGGCTTGAAAACGAACTCGATTTTGATGGGGTTTTGGTTGATTTTTTTATTATCACCGTTCCTGTTTGTAAAGCAGGAGGGGAGCTCGCTCCTTTTCCGCCTCCTGTGGAGATTCCCGAGGAAACGCTCCGTTCTAGGCCGGTTACACACCAACCATCCCCTGAGTTTCAGGGGGACACGGAGCTCCCTTAAACCCCCTTCTTCCCGGCTCGCTTCCATCCTTACCCCTTCCCAACGCTGCCTCCGGCTTCTCTCCCTTTCCTCGGCCGCCTGCCCGTCTCCCGCTGTCCTCCCAGGGTATCAGTCCTTATCTCTTGGTTATCTCTTCTGCTGCTAAATTCGGCCCAGCGCAGGGGTTCAGCCGGGGGAATCTGTTAGTTAAACCTAAAGCAGTCCCAGGAGTTATTTCTCCGGCCATAATTCCCCCCCCATCCAGGCCTTGTCCCGGTGTGAAACGGTTTTCAGAGAATCCTAGAACTCCAGAATAGTTTGGGTTGGAAGGGATCTTAAAGATCATCTACTTCCAACTCCCCACCATGTGTAGGGGCACCTTTCACTAGACCAGGTGGCTCCAAACCCCATCCAACAGGATTCCTCCATGATCTACAGAGAAAACAGCATGTCAAATTTTCTTACCCCCTTCCCAGACCCTTCTTGGGAAGAGGATACCCTCCTGACTCCCTTTCATACGTGTTTTTTGGGGTCTTGCCATTGTGAGCCACCCACAAGGCCCTGATGGCATCCCACGGCCCAAACCCACCCCAAATTCCCCTAAAGGAGCCCAAATCAGAAACCAACCAATGTGAGACAAAGCACCTCTCACCCTCCCCCTGCCCCACGGCTCCAGAAGGCACCTCCCTATCCATACCCATGGCATTCCCGGTCCCCTGTGGGTCACCTTCCTATGCTCACAGCTTCTTCCAGCTCCCTACACGGAAAAAACGGGAATGAGAGATAAAAAACACAAGGAAGGGGGAGTTTTGAGGGTGCTGCTGGGGGTCTGCTCCCCCTTTTGGGCTGCACTGATGGGGGTGCAGTGGGTAACACCCCCTCTCTCCTTTAAGCCCCCCTCGTTCACGTATGGTCGGGCTTTGGGGGGTGAGCACACGCGTGGGGCAGGCGCGGGGTGGGAGGGTCGAGCCAGCCTTCCTCCTCCTCCTCCTTTTCCCCCTCTTTTCCCTAATTTAACTCCCCCCAAGCCCTCCTCAGCCGCCTCCCGCCGCCCACATCAAACGCCGGCCCCGGGGGCCATTAACAACTTAAAGCACCGATCGTACCTGAGGGACAAAGGTTTTTGCTCCAGGCCACAGGAGAGAGCATCGCTGTCTCTCACCTTCCCGGCTGTGAACCCCCTCCTTTCACCTCCCCCCTCTTCTCTAACCTCCTTATCTCCCCGCCCCGGAGGGGTCCCGGCCCGGCCGCTGCCGCATCCCGCATCCCGGCGAGCATCTCCCCGTTGCTCCCCGGTGGGGTGGTCGGGAAGGGGGGGGAGAGAGGAGACTTGACCGAGGGTTTTAAACAGCCACAGCCCATGGTGGAGGGCGGGGGGGGGGGCGGGGGTGATGGATTGGAGGACCGGTGGTAGCAGCTAAATCCAGGCGGGAGCTAAATCTCCCCTCCGGAGGGACCTGGACTTCTTGCTTGGGGTCTGGAAGACGCGGCGGGGACCTGCTGAAGGTGGGGAAGGTGGGCGGTGGGGAAAGGGGGGTGGTGGAGGAAAATCGCATCGCTGGTGGTGTTTTGGTTTTGGCTGGAAGGCTGTGCCCACGCGAGACCGCTCCGGCCGCTGCTCACCTCGGGGGAAAGTGGAGCCGGGGGTTTTCCGCCCGCTCCCCATCGCTCTGGATCGCGGCCGGGGACCCGGCTGGGGTTTGGGGAGGCCCGTCGCGAGATGTACCAGAGTTTAGCCATGGCAGCGAACCCCGGCCCTCCGGCGTACGAGGGGGCAGGTGGCTTCATGCACAGCGCGGCCGCAGCGTCCCCGGTCTATGTGCCCACCACGAGAGTCACCTCCATGCTCCCCAGCCTGCCCTACCTCCAGAGCAGCGGCTCTTCCCAGCAAGGCAGCCCCGTCTCCAGCCACTCCATCTGGACTCAGCCCGGAGCCGAAAGCGCCGCTTACAATCCCGGATCTTCTCACCCTCCCGTGTCACCTCGGTTCTCCTTCTCCACCAGCACCCCCATCCCTGCCACCTCTTCCCGGGAAGCGGCGGCGGCTTACAGCGGCTCCTTGAACCTTTCTGCTAACGGGAGGGAGCAGTACAGCAGGGGCTTCGGCAGCTCCTACTCCAGCCCCTACCCGGCCTATATGAGCCCCGAAATGGCCACGACCTGGACTTCCTCGCCCTTCGACAGCCCGATGCTGCACAACCTGCAGAGCCGAGGGACGCCCGCGGCCGCCCGGCACGCCAACATCGGTGAGCACAGACGGGATTGGCACAGGGGAGGGAGGCTTTCACCCCGTCGTCCCCCTAGATTTTGGTGCACGTACCCCTCTGCGTGTAGATTCAGGATGGGCGAAGGGCAGGAGGGAGAAATTCGGGGTATTCGGGATGTCGCTGTCGGAGCCGCCTCTCCGGCTTCAACCCCCCTGTGCTGCGGTTGCCCCCCCTGCACACGCATTTACTCTGAAAAACCATTTCCAAATATCCTCAAAGACTACAGCTGCCAAAAAAAAATTGATAAAATTTAAATAAAATTTAGGGTAGGCCCGAGGCAGCAAGGAATGATGTGACGAGCTCTGGCGCCAAGGCCCTGCTGGCTCCACAAATAGCTCCGAGGGGATTTGGGGGTTGCGATGGGGATGGTCGTGGTCTCCAGGACCACAATATTCCATGGGCACGCAGGTAGCCCCTCCCTGAGCTGGATTTAGGTGTAAAACGGGGAAAGTTTGTTTGGAAAATCAAGAAATCAAAGTTTGGCCAGTGAATACCAGATCTTTCCTTTGGGTTGTTTTACGTTCCAGCCTTTTTAAAATTATTTTTGGGGAGTTTAGTTAGGCTGGAAAAAGGGAGATTGAAGGGAAATTTAGAGTTGAGGTGAGAGAGACAATGGAGAAGGAGAAAAAGAAATGCATCCACATTTATTTTCCTGCTTTTTGGGGAACTCAGGCACATCGGAACAAGCCAACCGTGTATTTCAGCGTCACTTTGGTCCTAAAAATCTCAGCCCTGATCTCTTGTGCTGCTCCCAGTCTTGGAACTTTTCATTGCATTATGCCTCTGGTTCCTACGACCAAAAATTGGTCCAAATGGCTTAAAATATTGTTTTTATTTTTTCCTGGGGTAGAAGAGGGATAAATGGACAGAGAAATGTGGGGCACAAATTCGCATTGCAGCTTCATAAACCCTTTTTTCCTTCCCGCCTTCTCTCAGTGAAGGTATTTCTGTCGGCGTCGGGGTCGGGGTTAACAAAGAAAATGCCTCAAATTTGTCTGCAGATATTTTTTAAGATTGTGTTCTTAAGACTGAATTTTGGAGTGTGAGTTTTTCATCGTGTCTAGCAAGATTTGCGTTATCTTTAGCATTATTTTAAGATGCTAAAAGATGGAAAGTTGGGTGCCGGTGAAGACTTTGCCTTGCCAATGTCTTTTACTTTTCTTTGGGTGCTAAGAAATTGGTTAAGATGGGGAACAGATTAAGGATAAAATTTTAACCAGCCAGGCAATGTTTTCGGGAAGCCATGAGAAGGCGGAAAATAGAGGAAAAAAGCAGGATTAATTAAATAATCAAATATTAATCGAATATCAATGAAGACATATGAATATTTGTATTTGACTGTGGTGCCATCTGTTCCTTGGGGAAAAAAAAAACCACCTTTTTTTTGTGGTGGTCTCAAAAGACTCTTAATAAAAAATAAACTAAACCCGAAATAATATTAATGAAGAATTGCAGTTGAAAAATACCCGGCAGCTTTTAAAGTGCCAGAGACTGAGCGTGGGGATTTGGGGGTTTCGAGCCCTGAGGTTTGCGTTGCAGGTCTGCATGTTGGTGGCAAAAAGTGGGTTTTATCCAGGCTTTTAAATAGTACTGGGAAGGGCAGACGAGTTAAACCAGTCCAGAAAAGGGCTGTTAATGACGGAGAAAGGAGACGGGACTCCCCTTCATGGCCAGGTCCTGATTCGGGTGCCGGATTCACGGGATCGCCGAGGGCAGTGCGGCAGAATGCGCGGGATTCATTAGCACGGGTCTGATTACGTCTCTGCCTTGAATATGGAAAAGCCCTTGGATTTTAAGTCAAAAGTGCTTGGGTTTTGATTAAAAAATAATAAATAAATACAAACTTCCAGAACGCTGGAAAGTTTTAAATCTAGGATTAAGATGGATTTTTGGAAGACACCTCCTTGGGGAAGCAGGACCTGCCCCGTTCCCCCTTCTCCCCCGAGTCGGGGCGCGATCGCTGCCCGGTCCCTCCTCGACGGCCGGGCGATGCTTTGCGCAGGCTGTGGGGATCGAGGGGGTTGTGTGAAGCGTGTAAAGGCTGGCTGGGTGTTCTGAGCTTGGAGAAGTGCTTTATTTTAATGATTTTAAGAGTAAAAAACCCTGAAGGCACTGAAAGATGTAGTGTGGGGGGGGAAACACCGTTGTGGATTGCACCCAACGCAGACCCACTTTAACACCACATCCGAGCCTGGCTCACCACCTGAGCAGTCCCTGCAATGTGGAATCGACTCCTTCTTTGCCTTTCCTTAATTTTATTCTCTGCACAATGAGGAATCTCAAGGTGGAAACGGAATCCTTCGCTCAAGGCTCTATTAAATCAAGCGATATTTGCAATGGTCTTGTTTTCTTTTCCCAAAGAACCACTTTTGGATAGTGCTAAATGCAGGGCATCTGCAGGGCCACTGAAATTTTAATTATTATAATTTTTTAATAATAAAGATCAAATCTAGGCATGCGTAGCTGATTATGCAGACATGGATTCACAGTCTATGCAATTGGGCATTACATTTTTTCCCCCTTTTTATGTGTATATATATCCCAGTAACCATAAAGAAACACGCAGGGGAAAGAAGTTTAGTGAAAATGTATTCAGAGAAAATAACACTAAAAGAAATACAAATCTTCTTTTTTTTTTTTTTTTTTTTTCCTAAGAAGAGGAATTTTGGCTTGGGTTGAAACATCATAAAGCACTGAGAAGGCTGGGTGGGTAAACTACAAGGGCCCATTTGAAAAACTTCCCCTTGGTGTGAGTTCAAAATGCCAAATTTGGGCTTTTTAGGGTAAGTTTGGTGACTGATTTCATTACCCCGAAGAGCAGGATCAGATCATGCGGTCGAGGCAGTGAACTTGCTCCAGGCATTGCCTGGGATGGAGTTACAGTGAATTCCCGACTTAATGAGGCATGAAAAGGACCTGCTGCAAAGTCCCCTCTCAAAAGACTTCCCTGCCAGCACCAAAAATCTCTCGAAATCTCTCCCAAAATAAGCCTGGATGGGCAATTTGCCTCTTCCCCCTTCTCCAGGCAGAGGGGAGCAGGGATGGAGGGCGGCACGGGTGTCTGAGTGCATCCAGCCCACGGCGATTTGCTGCCTCCTGGATGTTTCCAGGCTGGGAATAGAGGGTCAGATTCCAGTTTGCCATCCCCACTCCCTTTAATTTTGCTTACAGCGGGGATTTTATTTTTGCTGTGGGCTCAGGAGGTTAGGAATAAATCGGGGCGGGGGGCTGTGAGCATTCCTGGTGGGTGCTTCTAGGGCTTTTTTTGGCTAAGTCGAAGTCAGGGCTCCTCAAACAGGCACCGCTGGAACACAGTAACAGCATCTGGGAAGATCAAAGCCTGGAGCAGACGCTGGGCTGGAAAATGCTGGTGGTGGGGGAGATATTGGGAAACAGATCTTAAGCTTTGCCATAGGGATGCTAAGAGATTTGTCCTGTCGCATCCCGGGGCCGGCATTCCCAGTGATTCATTGGCATTTGTTACAACCCGCTGCCCTACAAGCAGCCCCTGACCTTCCCCACTCACCGCAGGACACGGTGGTTTGTCCCTGTGGGGTGGCAGGCGATGAGGGGAGCCCAGAACCTCTCCTGTCCCTGCCCCCGGAGAGATGGGACCGTACGGTGGAAGGATGGGGCTGTCGGATGGAGGGTTGAGACCGTGGGGTGGTGGGATGGGACTGCAGGATGGAAGGATGGGGCCACAGGACAGAGAGACGGGGCTGAAGAATGGCGGGAATGGCTGGAGGATGGCGAGACGGGGCTGTGGGACAGCAGGATGGGACCGCAGGACGTGTCTGCATTTTACAGGGGATCCTACATCCCCTGTTTCGCAATCGGTTGCATTTCTCACCTCGGGGAAGGTTTGCCCAGGGCTTTGTTCCCCTCTGTGGGTTTCAAGCCACCTCCTGCTCTCCTGCCTAATTTAATTGTCACTCGTCAGTCTGGGATTTGGGATGAAACCCACAGAATTAGGGTTTCTAATCTCTGAGCAAGACCAAGCTCAAACAGGCAAATGTTTATTCTCCCTCAAATCCCCAAACAGTAGATTTTAAATTGCAAATAAAGCAGCAATAATAATAAAAATATCACCGTCATGGGCACTCTGTCATCCTTATTAATAACTCAATTCCTTAATTAAAAATTGCACCTCATTACCAAATACCAGTGCATATGTTGCATAGAACATATGGTGTAGTATATAATATATTATAAATGGTCATCAATTTTTGTAGAGCAATAAAACTTAAGGTAGTGGATAGTGGTGCTTAATCTAAGCCTTTATTAAGCCAGGATTATTTTTCTCCTCCACACACACCCTCATGTGCATTTCTTTATCCCTACAAGAATAACAGCAATATTTTTTTAAGAGCCTGTATTATACTCTCTCCATATTTTTTTTGCCAGCAATTTAGGAAGAAAGAGGCAAAATCCTTGGAAACAGAGGAGTATTTATCAGGCAGTGTTTCCCAAAGGAAACCAGCCCAAACCTGATGCCTCTGTATTCTTTTCATGATGGGAAAACCTTGGCTTTGAGGGCAGGTAGGAGGTCCCCAAAACTGGTTATCCCAAATGCAGAGGGGTATTTTGAATGTGCAAACTCTCTCACTCTAAAAATTTGAAGATAAATTAGGAAAAAAACCCACCAAAAAAGCACCAAACAGCAAATAAAATCCCAAACTGGGTGAAAAAGCAGCAGCACAGCGAGTTTTTGTGCCTGAAGGTCAGCAGCTTGTTGCTGCCGGGGGAGGATATGTGGAGGGGCTGCTAAAATAAGGTGGGAAAATGTGATTTGAAGGAAAATCCAATTTAAAAAAATTGATAGTGTTGTCCCAAACTCACAGAGACCTTGTTTCTCATCGGCACAGGGCTCTGCATTGAAAATTTTGCTCCTTGAGCCCCGTGGAGGGTTGTGAACACAGGAAAAAAAAGGGATGGAGAAATGGGATATTTGGGGATCTCCCCTTGCTTGGTGATGTTCC